TTCATTTCCCCCTAAAACCTTCCTGGAAACCCCAGCCCAGTCTCCAAATTTCTGTACTACACCAACTGTTCCCAACCCTCTCCCTGGACACCCCCACCCCCAAAGCTGGTTTCCCCTGCCCGGCCTGTCCACATCGAGGGCCCTCGGTCTCCCAGCCGGGCTCATGGGACAAGTGGCCAGCACCCCCGGGGACACGGGGAGGCCTGTGTCTGCTAATGAAGAGCGCACCAGGCTGCTCTCCAGGAATCTCGGGCGCTTCTGGAACCTCCCAGATCCAAGGAAGCCGCGTCGGAGGCGGTGACGCCGGTCCCAAGGAGCTGGAGTCGGAGTGGCTGAAAATCTGGGTAGGGAAGGTCGGCGTGGCCAAGGGTATTCTTGAACCATAATGACCAAGACTTCCCTCCCTTTTCTAACCTGCTTCTCCGTAACCATATGTCCGGATATGACAGAAGAGGCCAGCTCTGGGCTTGTTCCCAATTCTACACGCAGGGCTCCCAGAATGAACGCAATGGATGGGAAGGGCCAGGTGTGCCTGTTGTGGAGTGCGAGCAACAGAATGACCACTGGAGTCCAAACCAATGAAAATTTAGGAGCCTTTATTACTGGCCAGTGACTGCTCACCCTTTCTCCACGCAGGGAGTCCAGAGAGCAGCCCTGACCTCGGGTGCAGAACAGCTTTTAAGCACTAACACCACATCCTAGTTGGCAAGCTAAATGGAACAACAGCAAACTTACATAACGCAGGTTTTCAGCTATCCTGGGGGCAAACTGCAAAGGTGATAAAACCACATCTTATGGGGTTGAGCTAGCAGCATGCTGTTTTATAATTTGTAGCTGGGGTCTGTAGCCAGTACAGCAGAGCTGAAAAGTTCCCACTCTACCACAGTGCCCACTCCTAGTCCAGATAAAGATCCTCCGGGTTGGCGAGGGGGCGCCCAAAGGCAAATGCTGCTGGGTTTCTGAAGAGAGGGCATGTCCCTTGCCCACTCGTGGGCCAGTCCAGGGGAGGTTGGGGGGACAGGAAAACAGAAAAGGTACAGCCAAGGACGGTGCCCATTAGGAACATGACTGTCAGGGGAGTAGGGGCTGCGGGGTGACAGACAGCGCCAAGCTTTAGATCTGGGCCCAGCTCAGAAGAGACAGGATTTCTGCCCCTGGGATGACAGCCAGGGTGTCCTTTCTGGAACGGGGACCAGGAACGACCTCCCCGAAGGGCCAGTAGATGGCGCGCCCCCGTGTGGCGGTGAGAAGCAGCCGCAGGCGCATACAGGAGACCTGTGGTTGCCCTGGCTGCGGGGCCAAGGGAGGCGGAGAGGTCTCAGCCCTTTCTGGGCTGCGAAAGCTCCAGGGGTTGGAGGCAGTTTGAAGGGAGGACCCCGAACAATTGTCCTTTGAGGGCAAGGAGGGCAGGGCCAGGTCCTGAACTGTTGAGGCCACAGTCTGGGTCCCCCATGAGGCAGGCCTGGAGCAGCCTCAGGATGCAAGTGGGAGTGGGAGCCTATCCAGCTAGACCTAATGAGATGAGTGGGTGTTCGTTAATAGTCTCTGCTGCACAGGTCAACACCAGAGACTTCTGGATCAATGTGACCATGGCTCAACCTGGCATTTCTGTCAACAGAGCGCGCCTGTCCCTGCTGGGGCGTCAACAGTGTCCCCTCCCCTCCCCCCAGCCGGCTCATCCGATCCTCTCAGCGCTCCGGTGATCGGGTGGGGAATAATGAGCCTGGCTGGCAGCACAGCCAGCTACCAGCAGAGGGCGCCGCTGGGAAGCACCTGGCCAATCACCTGGCTCTCCTCTGCCCCCACCCCTCCCCGCCTAGAGGGGTGGGGAACCTCTGGCTCGCCAGGAAATCATTTGGTCACATGTGATTATCACGCACTTGCAGCTTAAGTAGTCCAAACTGAGACGGGCTGTGTGTGTAAAGACACACACCGGATCCCATCAATTTAATACAAAAGGAATGTCAATCTCATTGCTATTTTTATATTGATTTCCTGCTAAAATGATAATTTCTGAACATGTTGGGTGAAATGAAATTCTTATTAAAATTCATGTCACCTGTTTCTTTTCACTTTTATAACAGGGCTACCAGAAAATCTGAAATGACCTATGTGGCTCACATTACATTTCTGTTGGACAGCAGTGGCATAGGCAATGGTTCTCAAAGTGTGGCCCCTAGGCACGCACATCAGCATCACCCAGTGTCACAATGCAAATTCTCAGGCCCACCAACACTTACGGAGTCAAAAACTCTGATAGGACTCGGCAACTTGTGTTTTAACCAGCCCTGCAGGTGATTCTGCTTAAATTTGACCCAATGACCCCACTTCTAGGAATACTGTATTCCAATGGCATAAATGTACCACAGCTTTCTTAGCCACTCATCTCCTGATGGGCATTCGGGCTGTTTCCAGATCTTAGCTACTGTAAATTGTGCTGCTATGAACGTAGGGGTGCATACATTCTTTCTGATGGGTGTTTCGGGGTTCTTAGGATATACAGGCAGTCCTAGGGTTACGTTGGACTCGACGTACATCGTTGCGTGGTTACGTCGCCATCTCCCGTTTATTTATTTAAAAAAAAGTTCCGTCATTTTGACGTATGTACATATGTGTTTTATGTTTTTTATTATTTATTTACCACAAGTAAAGGTCAGGAATTGTTATCTTTAAAACTTTTTTTTTTTTACTGTTTCACTTCATTACTGCTCTGTCTGTGCTCCATGTGAGTGACGTAGGTGCTTATGTGGGTGGGTTCCGACTTAGGGCGAAAATCGTGTTACTTCGCAGCATAGGGACGGATCTCCGATGTAACCAGAGGACCTACTGTATATCGTTTTATTAACCAATGTCACCCTAATAAATTCAACACAAAATGTTAAAATTTGTATTAAGAAAAAGATGAGGACTAAATGAGTGAATAATAGGAGCAGCGCCTAGTAGGTAGTAAGTGCTCAACAAACGTCAGCCGTCCACCCTGACCACGGATGGCCTTGGCCCTGGCTCGGCCAGGCCTGTGGAGTGTGCACTATTCAGGAGCAGCGATTCTGTTGTCAACTTCCTTCCCAGGAGTCCGCAGCCCGAGCCTTGTTTGGAGCCTGGGGGAGGGGAGCGCCCTGCCCAGAGGACTGGCAGGCTGAGGCAGCGCTGTCCAGAGGCGTGGAGAAGCCTGGACTCCCCCGGTTACCCCAGCAACAGCAGTGATGCCCAAGGCCCCAGCTGAGGGCTGGACCACTCCTCTCCACCACCTGGGAAGGTGCCAAGGAGCCCACCTGGTAACCCAGACTGTCAGTGCCGAGATGCTCCCCATCACTTCTGCCCCGCCTCCCAGGCCCCACCTTGTGGCCTCCCAGCCTCCAGGCTGTGAAATGAAGAGGGGAGCTGGGCAGCACGGGGAGGGGCACGGAGGAGCCCAGGAAGAGGAGGCAGAGGCTGCTGCAACCTACCCCCTGACGCTGGCTCAGAGGGACCAAGAGCTCTGTCCCTCTGATGGGCAGGCCAGGGTGCTGCCTGCTCTGAGAGCCTGGAGGGCCACCCCACCTTCCCGGGCTCTGGTCTCGGCCTTCACAGCCACAGGCCCTCACAGCCTTCAGGACTGCGCTCCCCTCTGCACAGTGAGGAGTTTGGCTGGATGGAGGGTGGGAAGGCACCAAGCCGCACCTTTCTGGGCGCAGCTGGCGTTCTTGGGAGTGCAGTGGCGAGGGTGCCGGCAGGCCCTGGGGCTAGGCTGCTTGGGTTCAAGTTTGGTTTCTTCCCTCCCTGCCGGGGTGCCCCCATTTAAGATGTTTAGCCTCTGTGCACCTTCGTTGCTGTGCGGTCTCGCAGCGGTGACCAGCACAGAGGTGACACGCTGTGGCGGGGCTAATGGAGGTTTCCACCAGGGGCTCAACGGGCCCCACACGCCGTGAGAGCCGGGGCCCAGGACGCCCAGCTCAGGGCAGAGGTAGGAGTCGGAGAGGTGGCCCTGCAGCCCGGACTCTACACTCGGAGCCGGTTCCTTGGCCGCCACATGGCCCCTAGTGCCCACTCCGCTCTCACTGCCCAGTGACCATCTGCTTATGTCCCTGACGCCCCTCCACAGGCCTGGCATGAGCCAGGGCCAAGGCCATCCATGGTCACAGAGACTCAGAGAGAGGCTGCGGGGTCGGCCCCCACCCCAACTCCCAGGTAGGCGGGGGGGGCGGAGAAAGAGGCAGGAAGGGGTTGTAAACAGTCACATGTCGGCACAGCCCCTGGAGACAAAGCATCAGTAGTCTCACTGGGCCCCAGCCCCGGTCGCCCCTCGTGGGGCTGGCGGGAAGGGAGGGTTCACTGAGCAGGGCTGGGTTTGGAGGTCACACAGGTGGCCCACAGGCCCGGATGCAGCCCTGAAGGTGAGCAGAGAAGCCTGGAGTCCCCCACTCACCTGGGACCTGGGACTTGGGACCTGGGAACTAGGAGTGGCTGGTGGCTTGTCCTGAGGAGCAGGGCAGAGTCAAGCCTTAGGGATGGGTGTCCCAGTACACACAACCCTCCCCCACCCCCCAAAGTATCCACAGGGGCCCAATGTCATGATGAGGTCCCAGGCGACCAGGAGGCTTCCCCCAGGGCAGTGGTTGGCAAACCGCAGCTCTCGAGCCACATGTGGCTCTTTGGCCCCTTGAGTGTGGCTCTTCCACAAAATACCACGTGCGGGCGCGCATGTACAGTGCGATTGAAACTTGGTGGCCCATGCGCAGAAGTCAGTTTTCGGCCTGGGCGAGACTATTTTGAAGAAGTGGCGTTAGAAGAAGTGGGGGGTGTCGGTCAGTTAGGCAAAGGGAGACGGGGCGCAGGCGGGCCCCGGGATACGCAGCGAGGGGGAGGGGCTCGCGATTCATGCACGAGTTGAGGATAGGAGAGTTGGAAGGGGTCGACCTCAGCGAACGTACCTCAATCAGATTGAGGACATTTTTTAGCAAAGGCCAGCTTAGGAGAACCCTAATTAAGTTAATAACAATGTACCTACCTATATAGTTTAAGTTTAAAAAATTTAGCTCTCAAAAGAAATTTCAATCGTTGTACTGTTGATATTGGGCTCTGTTGACTAATGAGTTTGCCGACCACTGCCCCAGGGTCACCCAGTCCCCCCCAGCCAGCCCGCCCTCCGGAGGCACTGCTTCCTCCCAGGCAGCCTAACCCTCACGGGGGCAGCCACGATGCCTTCCCGCTCTCTGCAGCGCCTCTAACTGCGGGGCCACACTCCTCAGCCACACATTCCTCAGCTGCTCTGGGGCCTTCTGCTCCAGCCCTGGCAGGGCAGGCCTGGTCCCCTCCCCCGGTCCACCAGCTGGGCCTCTGTTAACACAGCCAGGGGCCATGTCTGTCCTTAAAGGGTGGCTGCCCTCAGTGCTCAGGGTCCCCAGGCCAGACGGTGTTCATGCCGCTGCTCGGAGGTAAGAAAAGACCAGGACCAACCCTGCAGGGCCCCGGGCCCCGCACACACGGGACACGTGAGCAGGGACACACAGAGAACACCGTGCACACCTCAGTGAGGGCCGCATTCAGATGCGCCACCCTCTACACGACACCCATGGCCACCTCCACCCTCCCTCCGGCGCACGCCCCAGGCACACACGGGTGGAGGGCCCTGCCAGGCTCCGACCCGAGGCAGGACAGCCGGGCCGGACCCCTACCCTCGCCCACGGTCGGGGTCCTCATGGCTGCATATGACGCCCGCGTCCTCCTCGTGTCGGCAGTTGTGCGTGCCCAGGCCCCTGTGCCTGCACTCCAGCAGGGTCTTCTCGTCGCCCGCGCAGCGCACGTCGTCCAGCAGGATGGGCAGCGCGCGGCCCTCCCCGAACTCCGCGCCCTTGGTGGCCCGCACGGCGTGGGCAAAGCCCAGCTGGCGGCACACCACGGCGGCGGCCTTTATGTCCCAGCCGTCGTCGCACACCGTGCCCCAACGCCCGCCTGCAAACACCTCCACACGCCCGCGGCCGGGGCTCAGGCCCGCAGGCCGCACCAGGCGCACGGCCCCATTCAAGGGCGCGGAGTTCTCGGTGCCAGGCTGGCCCCGCCGCCGGCCGCTGACCCTCCGGCCGCCAGGCCGCCGAGTGGGCCTTGCTGGGCTCGGGGTGGGCCTTGCTGGGCGCGGAGTGGGCCTTGCTGGGCTCGGGGTGGGCCTTGCTGGGCGCGGAGTGGGCCTCGCTGGGCGTGGGGTGGGCCTCGCTGGGCGCGGGGTGGGCCCGGGGGGAGGGGCTGTGGGGCGGCGGCGGCTGGGCACCTTCGTGGGCGGCGGGGTGCTCTCGGCCCTCCGGATGAACTCTGCAGGAGGGAAGAGCCTGCGGTCAGAGCGGCCCTGGCCCCCCAGCTCTCCGTCCGGGAATGCAGACCCCAGGGAAAGATGTCCTATTCTACCCTCCACTCAGACATCGCGGCTGCGTGCCTCTCTGGTCGCCCTGCCTCCTGGGAGTCCCCGTCCCTCACACTGTAAACTCGGGGCTTCTCAGAGCAAGTGACCCTTTCCGGTTCCAATGGTTGGTTTAAGGGGGAAGCTGAGACCCTCTGATGGGAGGAGGGGGCCACGGCAGACGGGCTGGATGAGAACCAGCCTGCCTAGGGACTGCTGCTCAGGGTGCAGCCTCCCGCCAGGCCCCTGGCTGCCGGCTTCTCCCGCTTGGCCTCTTGCTGCTCCCTCTGCCTAGACTCCTCTCCCCCACCCCCACCCCACCCCCCACCCGCCATGGTGCACCCTTCCTCTCCCTTCCAGGCTCAGCCCTCAGCCTCTGCTCCGAGACCTCCATGCCCACATCCTGCACTGCCCTGGGTCCCCATGGCACCAGCACACACGCTGTCACTGGGTCCGGGATGCTAAATGACATGTCTGTGTGTCCCGGCCAGGACAGGGCCTGGCCTGACCTGGAGCGGGTCCCCCCAAGAGTGCCGGAAACTGCTGAATGGAGTGTCTGCAAAACTGGCCCAGACCTGAAGCCACCTGAGGCTGGACTTACTCCCCCCAAACCCCGAGCTCCTCTCTCCCCCAGCTTCTTCCACCCGGGGTCCCCTTCCTCGGGGCCAGGCACCCCGCCCGCCCAGGGGCCTAGCCTTGCCCTCCTTCTACAGCCCCTACACCCAGTCTGCCAACTGGTGACCTGCTGGGTACACTCGCCCTCCTGAAGTAGCTCCTTTGGGCCACAGGGTGGTTTTTTAAAGCCAACATTTTCAAATGAGGAGATGTGTAGGTAACAGCTCGGAAAGGCAGACACCACATCCATCTCGCTCAGTGTGACATGCCCAAAATGAAGCGCACGGAAGTGCTGTGAATGAACTGAATAATGAACGGGTGGGTTTCCTGCTTCTCTTAAGAATGGAAAGGTCTGGCCCGACCAGTGCAGTTCAGTGGTTGAGCGCTGACCTATGAACCAGGAGGTCACGGTTCGAGGCACAGGCCGGGGTTGGGGGCTCCATCCCCAGCGTGGGGCATGCAGGAGGCAACCAATCAATGATTCTCTCTCATCATTGATATTTCTATCTCTCCCTCTCTGAAATCAATAAAACTATTAAAAAAAAGAAAAAAGAATGGAAAGGTCTGGCAACACTGGGCCTCGCTCCCACCGAGCCTGGCCCCATAGAACAACTCCTTCCTCAGGGCAAGCCTCTCCAGGTAGCCCCTGATCCCGGGGGCAGTCAGTGGTGGCGTTGCCCGGCCCCTCAGGTCCTGAAGCTTGGCACCCCTCCCTCCCTCCGCACCAACCTTGTCAAAGTGGAAGCATCCTGTGGCCGACCCAGCCCTGATACCCCCTCCCCTAGGGACCCTGCACCCAGGATAACGGTCCAGTATCCTTTGCTCACACATGACACACCCTCTTTCTCTGTGCCTCTCGTGGACTCTGAGGGTGCTTCCCTGGAAACAGCTATTTCTCCCTTCGCATGCCCCCTCTGAGACCTGCAGCCCCTTTGCGCCACCCACCCACGGCCTGGGACTGGCACACATTGCCCACTTTAACTGAGCGTCTAATGTGTGCCCAGCACAGGGCCCGGCAGAGGGTCCAGCTGGGAGGGCCCATGCTGGGTGTGGGCTGTAGGAGCGTCCCTCCCCCACTGGATCCCTGTTGGTGGACACTTACTTTCTTTGGGCACAAAGCGGATGAGGCGGCTCCTCACCGTCACCTGGGCGGGCTGGATCTGACACTTGCCGGGGGGTGCCCGTCTGCCAACACACAGAAGGTTATGAACCCGCCTGGGAGCCCGCCCTGAGCATGTCCTCTGACATCGCACCCCCCCCAACCGCCCCCATGGCCAGGCAGGGAGGGGAGGGCCCGTGTGCTTCCAGGCCTGGGCAGGTGACACCGGTGGCCATTTATGGAGCACCTGCTGTGTGGCCCAGTGTCCCCACGTGCTCCTTGCCCCAGGATCTACAGGAGTCCAGTCCAGTCCCAGGACAGGAATCCCTCCTCCCACTTCTGCATGAGGCCGGTGGCTCACCTGAGCCACTTCTAACTCCGGGCATGGCCTGTCCTCTGAACCTCCCACAGCCTGCCAGTCCGACTCCTGTCACTGTAACCTACCCTGGCCCCAGCCCACAGCCTTTGAGGAGGGTCCCTGCCCTCCTGGTTCCTGGGTTTCTGGTGACGCAGAAACAGAGGCTCCTCTGCCAGCAGGGACCAGGGAGAGATTCAGTCCATTTAAAGGAAAAAGGCAGAGAGAGAGTGTGTCTCCGGGTTGGCAGCAGAGCTGGGGGACCCAGGGGCTTGGGGGGGTGGGGGATGGGGGGAGGCGCGTAGAGAGTTGGAAGAGAAAAGAGCCAGAAAAGGTTGCCAGGACTATGAATTGGGCTCTTCTGGCATCTTCAAGGGGCACCAGGAAGGAATGGAATTTCGTTTTAATTAGTTTTTGGCTCTCGATCTGTGAGTCTTTGAATGGGATCCGCCGATTCTGGGCTGACCACGTGGGTACAGACTTCAATAGGTTCCACCAGCTCAGGGGAAAGCCCAAGGGGTGAAGCAGCCACATGACACGAGGGGCCTCCAGACGGGCCTGGCCAAAGAGGGAAGCCGCAGAGCGAAACTGTGGGCCTGCCCCCAACCCCTGCCCCCCCCCCCGCCCCCAGAATGAAGAAGCAGGCAGCACTTGTCAGAGCCGGAGACGGTGGGTTTTCTGGTGGCCCCGAACCCAAATACTATCCACATGCCCCACACAGGCCCAGCAGGGGTTTGTTCCTGAAGGAAATTATGAAAAACATTTTTGTTGTGCAAAAGGTAGGCGATACACCCAAAGCTGCCACATGAATGCGGTTATGTTTGGGCGGTAATGAATAGCCCTGCCCCACCCCGCCACTCCTCATGCCTTCGTTTTCCAAAGGTTCTGTAATGGGGCCTCGTGCAACATGCTGCCGGGCAAAGAAACACGTTTATTCCAAAAGAGAAAAATGAGAGGGATGAGGAGGGTCAGGGAGGGAGGGAGGGAGGGAGGGAGGAAGTCTGGCTGGTTTCTGCCTCTTCCCACACACAAGACCGTGAGCAGAAGCGACCTCTGCCCTGCCGCCGGATAAGCCAAGATAAGGCAGTGACGGTCCGAGGCGCATCTGGCGAATTAGGTGCTCCGTGCATGTGACATTTCCTTAGAGAAGCATCTGCTCTAAACGCTGGAAACGGCCAGGAACGGGGAAGATAGCTAGGGCACGATGACTCATCAGAAAATTACGCAGCCATTAAAACCGGTCCTTTTGGGGGGATGCAACATGGAAATGTTTATGCAGAACGGGGAAAGGAACGAGGGGAAATGCAAAGCTGGCAGGTGCCCTTCACACGGAGGTAATCCTGGCGCTGCCCACGTAAAGAGGGGAGGCCGAGGGTTTTCTTGAGAAATATGTGAATAATGAACAGGCCCTAGCCGATGTGGCTCAGTGGATAGAGCATCGGCCTGCAGACCCATGGGTCCCGGGTTCAATTCCAGTCTAGGGCACGGACCTCGGTTGTAGGCTCGATCCCCGGCCCTGGCTGTGTGCGGGAGGCAACCAATGAATGCCTCTCTCTCCTCGATGTCTTTCTCTCTGTCTCTCCCCCTCCCTTCCACTCTCTCCAAAAATCAATGGGAAAAATATCCTCAGGCGAGGATTAACAACAACAAAAAATAATAGTAATAATGAACAGACCTGTGATTTCAGGAAAAAATGCGGTAGGCAGAAATGTCTGCAAAGCTGTCACAGACCAGAGGAGGCTAAGGAGACGTGATGACTAACGTAATTCTGGAACAGCAAAAAGAATCTGAGAGAAAAACTAGAGAAATTCTTTTTAAAAAGTGCAGTCACCTCAATTTTAAAAAGAAGTATGGAGTTTAATGAATAGTAATGTGCCAATATTGCTCGTTAATTGTGACAAAGGTGCTGTAATAATGTAAGACATGTAAATAATAGAGGAAAATAAATAAATAAGTAAGTAAATAAATAAATAAATAAGAAGGGTGAGGGGCATATGGGGAAAACTCTGTATTATCTTTGCAACTTATTTGTAAACCTAAAACTATTCTAAATTCTAAGGGCTTTCAGTTTTTAAAAAATGTGATGATGGGGCTTGTGCTTATGAGCCCCCAATCAGTGCGTTTGACTCCCTCCTGTCGTGGATAGAGGTGGACTTTGAAGTCCGGGTTTGAATCCTGGATCTGCCTCTCACCAGCAGGATGGGCTTGTCTAGCCACTTCCCTCTTTGGGCCTCAGTTTTCTCATCTGGAAAATGGGGACATGAATAATCTCCGCCTGAGGGAGTGCCAGAGAGGGAAACTGAGGTAACGGAGTGCGGGCAGCGCCGGGGGTGTGGCTCACCTGGAGGGGTCGATGATCTTGTAGATGACCCCACGAGCTGCTGTGGCACTCGGCACGCCCGTGGACATGAAGTACAGCTCCCCTGGGACAAGAAACAAGGCAGGGAGTGAGCACGCTGCCTGGAGGCTGTCCCAGCGGCCCCACACCCCCACCTCGGGCTCTGAGACCAACCCCGACCTCAGGAGGCGAGCCCTGAGGGGTCCAGGCCCACGCAGCTCACCAGCGCCCAGAACTGAGACAGCCCCAGACGGCCGCGGACGTGCCCCGGGGCCTCTGTAGCTCCCCAGGGCAGTGGCTACTCTGCTGGACCACCCAGGCTCGGCCCTCAGAAGCCCCTGGTCACCGGCCTGGGTTTCACGCCCAGCACCACACACCTCTGGGCGCAATGAGGGTCCATGTCCCAGCTCCTTACTAACTGCCTGTTGGGTAATGCGGGCACACCTGGCTCTTGGAGCCTTAACTTCCTCATCCCAAAATGAAATGCCTCATAGGACTGTCATTTGGGTCTATTTGTATTGACTTCAGAGAGAAGGGAAAGAGAGAGAGACATCAAGGATGAGAGAGAATCATTGACTGGCTGCCTCCTGCACGCCCTCTACCGGAGACGGAGCCCACAACCCGGGCATGTGCCCTGACTAGGAACTGAACCGTGACCAGGGTGACCTCCTGGTTCATAGGTCGATGCTCAACCACTGAGCCACACCGGCCGGGCAGGACTGTCATTTAGATTAAAAGGGCACACGGTCAGTGCTGTCAGCACCAGCTTTGACTGCTGATGTCAGTCACCGGGATCTGGGCCGGCCAAGTCCGGAGGCTAGAGTCTGTCTCCACTCACTGACTAGCAGGCAGAACACTAGCTTGGGGAGTTTCTCGTGTGAATGCCAGTCCCTGCACTCAGCCCCCTGTGAGCACCCGCAGCTCCGGGAACCCCCACTCTGGGCCTCAGTTTCCCCACCTCTGGGGACGGGAGTGGAAATGCAGTGAGTGGGGTCACAAGCACCTGGCACCATGGGCGCTCAGGGAATGTGAGTCCTCGCTCTCTGCCCCCGGCCCTTGCCACCAGAGGCACCTATGTCCAGGAAACAGGCTTCATCATTCCCATCTTAGAGGTGAGAAAAGAGAGCTCAGAGAGGCCAAGTGACCTGTCCAGCATCACACAGCTGGGGAGTGCAAGCGAGGCCCCTATCTCAGCACCGTCTCTGCCCCCAAGCTCACACGGATGTAGGACACATGGTGGCCATGAGGCCAAGACACAGGCACACTTCCTCTCTGGGCCTCTTCCGGAGAGAGGCCCTGGAAGCCACTGTCTCCCTCCTGGCGGTGTGGCCCTCCCATCTGCACTCCAGCCCCTGAAGGGCCTGGGGGCTCTTCGCGCACTCCACTTCTGCAGCCTGGAATGCCTTTCTCCCCTGTCTTCCTCCAACTGACCAAGTTCAAGCGTATGGCCCTCTGGGAGGCCTCCAGGCACCAGCTGGGTCCAACATTCCCCGCCCCAGGGCTGAGCAGAATAGTCAACCTCAGTTTCCCGACCTGTAAAGTGATGGGTTTGGACCAGGCACACTCCACGCTCCCTCTGGCCTTGATCTGCTGGGAGCCGTGGCCCTAGCCCGGGGGTGGGCAAACTTTTTGACTCGAGGGCCACAATGGGTTCTTAAACTGGACCGGAGGGCCGGGACAAAAGCATGGATGGAGTGTTTGTGTGAACTAATATAAATTCAAAGTAAACATCATTACATAAAAGGGTACGGTCTTTTTCTTTTTTAGTTTTATTCATTTCAAGCGGGCCGGATCCGGCCCGCGGGCCGTAGTTTGCCCACGGCTGCCCTAGCCCCATGCACAGGCAGGGAGCCCCACCAGCAACGACGGACCTGCCTGGGGCCAGGCTGCCCTCCTGGTCTCTGCCATGTGGACGGTCCCTGGAGGACGCCGGGCCAGCAGACGCCCTTGTTTCACAATTTACAAGTCTTAGAGCAGCAGCTCTCAACCTGTGGGTCGCGACCCCTTTGGCGGTTGAACAGCCCTTTCACAGGGGTCACCTAAGACCATCCTGCATATCAGATATTTACATGACGATTCATAACAGTAGCAACATGACAGTGCTGAAGTAGCGACGAAAATAATTTTGTGGTTGGGGGTCACCACAGCACGAGGAACTGTATTAAAGGGTCGCGGCATGAGGAAGGTTGAGAACCGCTGTCTTAGAGGCGCAGCTAGAGAGATGGAGGCTGGAGCCTGGAGCTGGGAGCGGGTTGTTTGCGCTGGACCCCAGAGCGCAGTGCTTTCCAGGGGCCGCGGCCCAAGCTTGCCACAGGCTGTCCCTGGGCCATCCGTCTCCGAGGGGCCTCCGCCTGGCTGTCACCTCACTCGGTGCCACTCAGAGAGCTGAGGAAGGGCCCTGGGAAATGCATCTTCCAGGCCCTGCCTTTCTTGGGGGGTGGGGGGGATTAGGGGGGCCGAGGAGAGAGAGAGCATCTCTCCTTCCAAACCTGTTAACCCCCTATTGGCCAAAAGAAAGGGTTTTCAGGAGCCCACTGGGCTTGGGGAGGGCAGTGGGGGCTGCGGCTGCCCTTTGGAGAATTTAGATTCTGATGGGTGTCGGCTCAACAAAGGTTTCCCACACTCAGGCCTGGGGTCTCTGGGCACTGGGCTCTGCAAGGGGATACCCCTCCAAAGGCCCCCTGGTGGGTGTTGCCCAGCAACCGGGCCAAGCATCCACTAGGCCCCACCGTGGGCCCCTAGTCTTTTGTCCAGGGACAATCCAGGGCCAAGGACAAAGGCAGGAGGCTGGAGTGGGACCCAGCCCCCACGGCCCCTCTTCCTCCCCCCTCCCCACTGTTCCTTACACTGAAAATGCAAGTGCCTGAACGGAGACCCACTAACAGGCAAGGGGGCGGTGGTACCCACGTTCTGAAGCCCGCATGGCTTCATTTTCTAGGCCCAATACACTTGCCATCAGGAACCCGGGGCAGTGGAGGTCTTGGGAGGCACTCCCCACACCCACCCCTGCCCCCCACCCCTGCCCCCGCCTGCATTTCCACCAGTATTTCCTGGTCCCTAACTTTCCTGGACCTCTAACTGCCCTGAACTCTTCCCCAAGTCACCGGAGCTGAGCCTCCCAGCAACCTCACCCAGGGCGGAGGTGGGGGGAGGGGGAGGGGAAGCTGGTGAGGATGAGGCGCAAGCAAGGTCTCCAGCCCCACCCTCCCGCCAACACATCACTCTTCATCCTGAAGTGGTTTCAGGCCTGAGACCCACCCCATTCCTTAAACCTCAGGCCTGAGACCTCATCCCTCGAACCCCAAGCCAGAAGGACCCAGGGGATGGGGGGACCAGCCAGGCATGGGCAGCCGGGACGAGCGTCCTCGGGAGTGCTCACCGGCCTCGTCCTCCGCGAAGGAGATGATGTGTGGGTAGTAGTTGTTGATGAGGCCCGGGAACTCGCAGGTCTGGCCGCGGCCCATGCAGAGCTCGCTGTACTGCCACTGGCCCGGCCCCGGGCTCTCTCGGAGGGACATCAGGCGCCTGCAAAGGAGAATGAGCTGTGGGGTCACGCCTGGCCTGGTGCGCAGGGGAACCCCACCCACCCACCCATCCACCCACTCATCTGCTACCCATGCAACTGTGGTGGGCAGTTAGCCAGACATGAGCAGAGCAAGGACGATGGGCCGGGTACAGAAGGTCACCAGGGTGGAAAGCCTGGGCGCCTAGCAACGGACAAGTGTAGGGTGGGACCGCACCCCCAGGGTGACCTCCCCTCCCTAGCATATCACTGCTCCTTCGTTTGGACCCCTGACCTTTCCTCCCTAGAGATACTAGGCTCAGCTGTATTTCAGCTCCAGGCCCAGAAAAGCAGCAAAACCAGACAAGCAACACCACAGCGGACCCCAGGACCAGCTGCACTGAATAATGACGCCCTGCCCTGGCTCCGACCAGTCAATCAGTGGAGGCCTGAAAGGACGCTCCTGGGAAGCTGATGAATATTCTACTGAGATCTTCCCCTGGGACCGCCCCTAAAGCCTCCACCCTTAACACCCTTAGGACAGAGGACCCAGCGGGCTCTCCCTCCTGGGAGCAGCCCTGCCTTTCCCTCCCCCCAGGAGCCTCAGCTGTACCTGCCTCACTTCTAAACCCCAAGGGCCCTTCCTTTGCCTCTGTAACTTGTTCCTAAGTCCATGTCTTCTACAAAGTTCTTCTACCTTGGTGATTTTCCAAACGAGTGTTCTCTTATAGTTTGCGTCTTGGCTCTGAATTCTTTCCCAGCTAGAGGCTGCTGAACCCAGGCGGGTCTGACCCCGCCGGTCTAACACCTGGAGCCGTTCTTGCCGCCCCCAACACAACCAGGACCACACACAACTGGAGGGTCCGGTGCAAACAGAGCGTGCAGGGTCCCTTGTTCTAAAAGGGTTAAGAATGTCAAGACAGTGAGACAGCAGAGCATGAAGCCATGTGCGGGCCCTTCTCAGCATGGGGCCCTTCACATCCATGAAGCCTGCCCTGCATGAAGTCTTTACTGAGCACCTACTGTGTACCAGAGAAGCATGAAGGGGGGGCACACAGAGACCAAAGACCAGCTCGGTTCCTGCCCCCTCAGGCCACCCCCGCCCAGTGACCACCAGGAGGCAGTCAGGAGCTGGCTTGGGTGGCAGAGCTCTGCGAGGCTGGTGCCAGGAGTGAGCACACACTTTGGAGCTGCCTCCACTTGGGAGCTCAAGATGGAACCTGGGCACCTTCAGAATATGCTGATCGGGCCCCTTACTCCCTTCCCCGCGTGTCAATTACCTACTGATACTCCCAGGCCCTGGTCGCTGCCCCCTCCTCCGGGAAGCCCTCCTGAATGCCTCCACCTTGGGCTTCTCCAGCACTCTGAGGCAGACTAGAGTGGACTGAGTGTCTGTCTCCCTGACTTGGGTGTCAGGTACTCTTCAACTCTGTTGTTCTCTCTGGCCCTGGCACAAAGCCTGGCCCAGCAGATGGGCTTGGGAAAGGGAGGCAAAATTAGTTAAATGTCTGCAGTCAGGTGACTTAGGAGATAGGAGAATTGGGGTAAAAGCTGAGGCTTCATTTAGACCCACTTTCCAGGTGGGATAGTTGAGTCCCAGAGGCAGACCCCAAGGAAGGGGCGGAGCTGGTAAGAGGATCCAGCATCCAGAGGCTCTCTCTCAGCTCCAGCTGCAGACACGCCCGGGTCAGCAGCCTGCAGAGGTGAGCATTCTCCTCCAGCCTCAGGCTCCTTCACGCCTCACCCTCCTGAGCAGCAGCTGCCCTCGGTACACCGGCTCCAGTGGGGATAAGCAACAGCTACCAGATGCTGAGCTACTCGATTCTAAGTGCTGTGCATGTACTAACGGACTCAGTCCTCAGACGACCTTGGAGGCAGCTGCTATCACCATCTCCATTTTGCAGATGAGGAAACTGAAGCTGAGAGAAGGCAGTCACATGGCTAATAGGGGGGCAGGATGGGACCCAGGCCACCTCAGCTGCACTTTCAGGCATCGTGCCAGGTGCATCCCTGCCCTGGGCCTCGCTGGGCCTCAGTGTTCTCCTCTGTACAATGGGAGAGCGAGGTGGTCATGAGGCCCCAAAACTCCTCGGGGGAAGGAGTCTGACCCACAGCAGGTATGGGGGGTATGCTCTGCCCCCCAGGGAGGCGTCCGGCAGAAGAGTGTGGGAATTGGGAAACAAGGCTCCAGGGGCCCCCGTGGTCAGGCCTGGGCTGGAGCCCCAGCTCCCCTCTCCCCAGCAGGACGGCCTCTCTGGCCTCTCCTGGACCAATGCACCTGGGGCCCTGGCCAGCTGGTGCAGTGACAGGTCCTGGCCCCCCAGGGAAGTTGTTAGGTCCCTCCTTTGCCCTCCCTGCCTCCTAGAACGGCTGTCAGGCCACTCACCCACTCATGAAATCGCCGAAAATGTAGAGGCCATTCAGGTTGGGGTACTCGCAGCCCCGGTACACGTAGCCTCCGGTGACCGACTTGCCCAGCTTGTGTGGGTAGGCGAATATGGGCAGCACATCATCTGCAGGGTGGGGGAAGCCGGGGTGAGTGGAAGGGATCAGCACCCCCCTCCCCCAAACAAATCGTGCGGGTGCTTACAGCTTCTAGGTGCAGAGAAGAGCAAGGAGCATCCCAGGAGAATGGGGGAGGGGGAGAGTGGGAAGAGGCTAGGTCAGGTCCTGGGTCGGGTGTGGGGACCAGGGGAGAGGCATTGGCGCACATCCCTTGGGGTGGATCTGGGATCAGGGTGTCCCCAAGGGCGGTCTCCTTGAGCCTGGGACAGACACAGGAAGGGGAGTCAGGGGATGGAGGAGATCCGGGAGGTGGGTCCTGAGCGCAGAGGGAGGGAGGCGTTGGCACACAGCCTTGGGGAGGGGAGTGGGAGGATGGGGGATGGGGGAGATCTGGGAGGTGGGTCCAGAGCGCAGAGGGAGGGAGGCATTGGCGCACAGCCTTGGGGAGGGGAGTGGGAGGATGGGGATGGGGAGATCTGGGAGGCGGGTCCAGGGCGCAGAGGGAGGGAGGCATTGGCGCACAGCCTTGGGGAGGGGAGTGGGGGATGGGGGAGATCCGGGAGGCGGGTCCGGGGCGCAGAGGGAGGGAGGCAGTCACCCAGGGAGGCGTTGGCGCACAGCTTGAGGTCGTAGCACTCGAAGCCCTCGCGCGCGCGCCAGCCGTAGTTGCGGCCGCGCTCCACCAGGTCCACCTCCTCGAACTTGTTCTGACCCACGTCGCCGCAGAAGAGGCGCCCGCGGCCCGCGCCCGACTCCGGGTCGCCGCGGTCGAAGGAGCAGCGCCACATGTTGCGCACCCCCAGGGCGTAGACCTCGGGCCGCGCGGCGGGGTCGCCCACGAACGGGTTGTCGGGCGGGATGCGGTAGGGCGGGCCGCGCTCGGTGCCGTCCACGTGGATGCGCAGCACCTTGCCCAGCAGCGCCGACCTGCGGGCACGGACAGGGCAGGTGGGGAGGGCGCGGCTTGAGGTGACTGCGCCAGGGCGCTCGGGCACCACCCGGGGCCAATGGCTGAGCCAGGGCCAAGGTGAGCCTGGCTGTGGGGCCAGAGACCCCGCCGGGTCAGGTCCTTCTCAGCGACTTGCCAGCTGGGTCACCTCCTTCATTCATTCCGCAGCGCCCGGCACCTGACTCTGGGCCAAGCCCTGGACTTACAGCACCTACAGCCTCGCTTCGGCCTCACCACACAGCTTCCGGCAGGTGGTGTTGCTGTGACCCCCTTTACAGATGGGGACCTGAGCTCAGGAAGGTCACATGAATGCCCACGTGCCACGCCCCCGGTGAACGGTGGGGCTGGGGTCTAGTCCTGGCGGCTGGCCGCAAAACCCACATTTTAAAAAAAAATATTTTTTTATGGATTTCAGAGAGGAAGTGAGAGAGGGAGAGAGAGAGAAACACAAGGATGAGAGGGAATCATTGATCTGCTGCCTCCTGCACACCCCCTACTGGGGATCGAGCCCGCAGCCAGAACATGTGCCCTTGATCAGAATCGAACCCAGGACCCTTCAGTCTGCAGGTTGGGGCTCTATCCACTGAGCCACACCAGCCGGGGCCAAAATCCCATGCTCTCTACCACAACACTGACCTCCCCCGGCCTGTGTCCTTCACCGTCACTTGAGGTGGTCCTGCCTCCTTGCCCTCTTAAAGGATTGTGCTCCAGGGTGAACAGAAATGCTGCGAGGAAAATGAGTCGTGTAGTGTTCTTCGTGCCCAGCACAGTGCTGGCACATAAGAGGTGCTCCTTATGTTTGCTAAAGTGAATGAGTGAGTGACTGGAGGCAGTCAAGTGCACCATATGGAGTACAGGTTGGACTGGGAGAGCGGGGAGAAGACACTGCTATCTTAGCCGGAAACGGGCTGAATTCTCGCTTTCTCTCTCACACTCCCAGGGCTGTCTCGGGCAGAACCACGGTGCCTCAGAGTGCAGATGGGCCTCGGTGTGGTCCAGTTCATCCCACGGTCTCCACCCTCCACCCCTACCTCAAAGATGAGGCAACCCAGGGGGACCCCTTGCCAGATCCCCTAGACAGCTCTGGACTCCATGGAGGCAAGCAAAGTCACCTCAGGGGCTCTCCAGAACCACGTAGAATTGGGGTGCAGCCCTAACCTCCACACAGCTCCCAGGAGAGAGTGGCTTGTGGGTTTCATTCGTCACAGGACAAAAGTGACCTGACCCTAACCCAGCCGTGGGCAAACTACGGCCCGCGGGCCGGATCCGGCCTGCTTGAAATGAATAAAACTATTGAAAAAAAAGACCGTACCCTTTTATGTAATGATGTTTACTTTGAATTTATATTAGTTCACACAAACACTCCGTCCATGCTTTTGTTCCGGCCCTCCGGTCCAGGTTAAGAACCCATTGTGGCCCTCGAGTCAAAAAGTTTGCCCACCCCTGCCCTAACCGGTTTGGCTCACTGGATAGAGCGTCAGCCTGCGAACTGAAAGGTCCCAGGTTCGATTCTGGTCAAGGGCGTGTACCGTGGTTGCGGGCATATCCCCAGTGGGGGGTGTGCAGGAGGCAGCTGATCGATGTTTCTCTCTCATCGATGTTTCTGACTCTCTGTCCCTCTCCCTTCCTCTCTGTAAAAAATCAATAAAATATATTAAAAAGTGTCTTGCAACTGTGTGCCTGTCATTCTCACAGCATCAGCACCCTCCTTGGAGGCATCTCACCGTGTCCTCTCAGGTGAGAAAACCCTCCCACCCAATAGAGGCCCCACAGTTAACCCCCTACCACCCAAGGGCTCCTATCGCCCACTCCAGCCTGCTCGCCACCAAGCTGCAGACCACAGCCCAGGCTGCCGTGTATGAGGGGGCCAAGCTCATAGCAGCAAAAGAATGTTTTAAGTTCTGTCCAGTTATCCACAAATCCTTCCTTTCTATTTTCTGAACTTCGCCCCAAACATGAGAAAGTGCGATGCCTCTTACACAGCCCCAGGTGAAAGCACGAGTCGCAAGTTGTGAGCACTTTCACCGCTGTGATCAGCATCAGGCTCGCTATTTTTACTTTCTGGGCCGAAAAGGTGTCATCACTGTTGGCTGAGAGAGTGGAGGGGGCTGCCCTGAGGCTGCGGGATGGCCTCGTCTAGACTCACAAGACGTGTGTGTGTGTGTGTGTGTGTGTGTGTGTGTGTGTCTAGGAGTGGGATGACGGCAGGCCATCTGCTCAAGCCAAGAAGTGCCTAACTGCCCTGGCCTGCTTGGCGCAGCGGATAGAGCATGGCCTGTGGACTGAAGGTGTTCCATTCCGGTCCAGGGCACATACCTCGGTTGTGGCCCAATCCCTGTCCCAGGACAGGGCCCGTGCGGAGGCAACCAATCAATGTATCTCTCTCTGTCTCTCCCCCTCCCTTCCACTCTCTCTAAAAATCAATGGAAAAAATATCCTCAGCTGAGGAATAACAAAAATAAAAAATAAAGTACTTAAAAAAAAGTGACTAACAGAACAAAACTATGCTTCAATGTCTGGGCCATCGTGGGGGAGCCTTGGGCAGAACACCCACGTGCCATGTAGCCCTGCTCCAACCAGCTCGCACTCCCCACGTGGTCTGAGAAGCATCCCTTTCCTTCCTCTGTTTCCAGCAGAGCTGAGCTGACTTCAGAAAAAATCCCATCTTCCCAGATGCCCTCTAACATCGCTTCTCAGGTGCCTGTGGCCAGTGGGCACTGTGCCTGGCCCTCTACAAACATGACCGCTCTCACTCCTCACAACAAGCCTTCCCATGCAATAGTGCTGTTCTCCTCCGGCTGATGAGTGGCAGTGGCCTGCCTGGGTCACCGGCTGGCCAGCTGCAGGCTGAGCTGGGACCCAGGCCCCTGCCTGCGGCCCTGCGCTGTGTGGCTGAGGAGGGAACTCTCCTCCGGAACAGCATGTGATCCAGGGCATGTGAACAGCCCACCAGCCAGTTGAAAGCAGGACATACTTGTTTTGGGCATTTCCAAACTTCCCAAAGGGGTCTCCGGCCATCCCGCCATCTCCGGTGAAGATGTAGAGGTACCCATCGTCCCCAAAGAGCAGCTGGCCCCCGTTGTGGTTCGCCGCTGGTTCTTCAATCTCCAGGATTATCCTAAAAGAAGATAAATGTCCCCACCCCCGGCCCCCAAAATATCCTCAGCCAAAATACAAAACAAGATCACAGCCACAAGACCTCCTCTCCCCTGGATGCCACTGCACAGTGGCAAAGACTCTGCGTGTCCTTTTAGCACGTGGTTTTTACAAAGGTCTGGAGGGCTGGGCATGGGTAGTTCACTCTGTTGTGCTAATGAGAACTTGGATGCTCAGAGGGGTTGACAAACTTGCCCAAGGGCACACAGCAGAGCTGGAACTAGAACTCAGGTCTGCTAGTTCTGGTCTAACGCTTCTTCGACTGCTCCTCCCTGCTAACCCCTGCCCTGTGATGATCATGCAGAACTGTGGGCCCAGGCATAGCTGGTTGTTCTATCAGCCATGGCTACCCACACGTAAGCGGAACACTTCTACACTCCCTCCTTGGCAGGAGATTGGAGGCAAGGAGGAAGGGGGCAGCCAGGGCATTCCTCTTTCTCTCTCTCTCTCTCTCTCTCTCTCTCTCTCTCTCTCTCTCTCTCTCTCTCTCTCTCTCTCTCTCTCGGCTGCGTCTTGCCAATAGCTTATCTCCTCCCTAGATCCAACTCCTGCTGCCCGGGCCCACCACGGCTCCAGCTTCCGCTGAGTGGCCCCAGCTCGGGGCTCCAGTGCCCCCAACCCCTCACTTTGTGCTCCAGCCAAGGAGGTGAGGCAGCTTCCTTCACCTGTTAAACTCAGAGCTGCCGCACGTCCTCCCCACGTTGCTCTGTCGTCATTCCTCACACCCCAGTAGCTCCCATGCCAAGCTCTGCCTAGGGAACGACCTGGTACAGGCTTTTTCCCTATGGGACTCACACTGGTGCGTGTGCCCTCCACACAAGGTCAGGACAAGCCCGTCTCAGAAACAGCCGGGCGTAAATAGTACGCAGAGAGCAGGATCAGTGTTGACGGGGGCAGAGGCCTGGAGGTAAGGAATGGCTAAACCAGCTGGGGCAGGGGGCGGGGGGAGTGGGGAAGGTCCAGGTGAAGAGAAGTGGAAGGCAGGGCGCAGGGCTCAGTCACCTGGGGCTGTGGGGATGGGGTGGGGGTGAGAGGAGCAGTGGGATGGGCTTGTATGACGGACAGGCCAGAATGCTAGCTCTGAGCTTCCTGGCTGTGCGACCTAGCAGGTCACGTCACCTCTGAAGCCTCCACTTCCTCATCTGTGAAATGGGACAGTAACACTGACCTGGCTGGGCTTTACGAGAACCCAGTGAAACAAACCACCTGAAGTGCCTGATCCGGGGCTCTGGATCCTGTGCTGTCTGTCTGGCAGCTGTCCCTCCCCTGACCCCAGAGCACAGGGGTCAGCCCCTCCCCGGGTGGCACTGAAACCATTGAACCACCCGTGCAACATGCAGCATGTAAAGGCTGGGTCTGACTGGCCCAGGTTCAGCCCTGCCCCGCCCGGCCTGGCTCCCAGAGGCCACCTCTCAGAGCTGTGGTCCACGGCGTTCGTGTCGTTCTCCGCGACCCTGAACTCGCTGATGCGGATCCACTCGTGGAAGTCAACCCCCACCGAGTAGTAGACGTAGAGCCTGCCGTTGTGCCAGAAGCGGGGGTGGAAGGCCATGCCCAGGAAGCCCCGCTCGTCGCCCTCCCAGGGCGAGGTGAGCACCGCCCGGCTGATGTTCAGGAAGGGTTTCTCCACCCGGGAGCGGTCGGGCAGGTAGGCCCACACCAGCCCCACCTGCTCGGCCACGAAGAAGCGGTGGGTGCCGTCCTGGGCGTGGACCATGGCCACGGGGTTGCGCAGCCCGTTGGCCACCTCCTCCAGGCACAGCTGCAGGCAGCCCTTGGCGTCGGCCACCACGCGGCCCAGGTTCGAGTTGAGGTTCTCGTTGACCAGCAGGCGAGGGAAGCAGTAGTCCGTGTCGTCCAGGGACAGGTAGCGGCAGAACTTGGCGCGGTCGCCCTCCAGGGCCCAGAGCTTGCGGTCGGGCGACAGGTGGCGGAACAGGCCCCGGCAGGTCTGCCACATGTCCAGGCAGTAGTCCTCGCAGAGCCCTGGCAGGGTGCGCAGGGGCGTGGACGGGTCCTCGGCGTCATAGAGGTGGGCTGCGTAGGGCGAGCATTCCTGCAGGGACAGGGACAGGGACAGCTCGGGATGCTCTGTGGTGGCACATACCAGCTGTGTGGCCTTGGAGAGGTCACCCCGCCTCCTAGAACCCCAGGCTGCTAATCTGTAAAATGGGGACAATCCCATCCGTTACCAGGATTAGTCTCAACTACGCAGGCCTCCGATCGCCTCGCCTTCATGCTTCTGTGAGAACCACTAAGCACATTACAACCGCTACTAACAACAGCATCAGCAGCTACCCCTGAGGACCTACTGTGTGCCAGGAGGGTCTGAGTTCTTTTATATACTTTCTCTTCTAATCCCATTGATGCCGCCGCCCTTTATCCGCATAATGTTCTCCTTTGCTTCGCTCCTGACTCAAGGGCCCCTGGTGCTGTCCTCCCCTCCAGCGGCTGCCAGAGCAGTTTCTCTATGAGACAAAGGAGTCGGACCCGCTGGGCCTCACTGGCCCCTTTTCAGCTCTGCTGGCCTCTAACTCCATGGGACAAAAGCCAACAGCTCAGGCTCCCCCACCTCCCCCCAGGGCCTCCATTGGTGAGACTCTGTGGATCCCATTCAGTGCCCCCGTGAACATGATTGGGAGGTAGGGGAGTTCATGCCTCGGGGGGCAAACCTTTGCTCCGTGGGAGAAAGGTGCTGGTGGCTAAATTGTCCTGCCTTCCTCCCGGCCCTGCTACCGGCAGTCCTGCCACCCAGCTCCTTGGAAAGGTGGTCCCACCGGCTGAAGCATCAGCCACATTTTGCAGCATCCTGGACTGGGCTCTCTCTCTGCCCCCCCGTCAATCTCACGGAATAAGGAAATAGCCCATATGTTTTGCCCCAGGTTCTGCTTTTGGGAACCCAGACGGAGGCAACACACCTGCTCAGGCCTCTCCCAGTGTCCAGCCTGCAGCACCCACCTTGTGAGAGCTAAGAGCCCACTCCACCTCCCCCAGCCTGAGAGCCAAGACACAGGTACCAGGCCCTTGCCGATCCCTATACTCTGCCCACAGCTTCCCCACAGCTCTGCCATCAGCTCCGGTCCCCACTGCTCCCGCTTCCTGCCCACCTTCCATTTCCCGACACTTTCACCTCTGAGCCTCAGCAAGCGCTGTTCCCTTTGCAGGCATGCCCTTCCCTGACAGGCAGAATCCTATTCCGTCTGAAAGAATAACCATGGCCATTGGAGAAATAGCAGTTAACAGTAACAGCTCCCGGGTATTGGGGCAGGCTGTGGGCGAGGGAACAGGCTGGGTACGCCAGTGAATCTGAATTTCCTCCTGACGCAGCTGCAGGCAGGAGGCTGGCTCCTGTCCCCATGGCACAATGGGGAAGGGGAGCCTCGGAGAAGGGAGCCACTGACCAAGGTCACGTGCCAGAGTGGCCAGGCTGGGCGGGCAGAGAAGTGGAGTAAATCCCAGCTCCACTGGCTGGCCAACTGCCCACCCCCAAGGCCTAGTGAAGTGCCCCCCGCACCGCGGCGCCTCCTCTGCACCCCACCTTCCCAGAGCAGAGGCCTCGCCTCCCCTGCTCCCTGACGTGACTCCAATCTGAGTCTGACGCGAACCCTCCCCGACCATGGGCTCATCAGGCCAAGGTCTGCTCTGACTCAACTGTGGGCCCAGGAGGCCTCAGGGGCAGCTGCTCCCGTGGAAAGGAAGGCACTGACAGCCGCATGTCCCCCTCATCGGCTGGGCCAGTCTGGGTTCCAGCAGGAGGCCTCCAGGGGAAGCAGGTGACTGGCTGCCCTCTTGGCTGCGTGCTTAGGCTCCGGGCCAGGGGCTGCTCCCTCCCGTTACATGATTGTGCTTTTGGTCACACCACAGCCTGTCTCCCTGGACCCTCCGCTGCTACTGTGGAGCTGAGGGACACTTGATGACGTGTGCGTAGAGCCTGGTCAGTCCCTGTCTCAGCTCAGACAGGGACCGCACATTTCACATGCTCCACTCTGCTGACAAGTGGGGCAGATGGCCAGGCTTGGCTCTGGGCAGTGTCACCTCCCCACCCCAAGGTCCCCCGTAGCCTCCTGAGTCCAGCCAGTGGCTGTGGGAGGACCAGGAGGGTCTGTACACACATGCCACCTAATCTTCACGAGGTATGGCCATTGTGACCCCTGTTGTACAGAGGAGGAACTGACGCTTCCAGAAAGGCACCCGTCAAGAAGTGGCCAAGCTGGGGCCTCGTGACATCCAGACTCCACCAGGTCACAAGCCCCACTCGTACTCAGGGAACACCACCTCCAGACACCATCGCCACCTCCTTCCATGCCAGGCCTCATTATCCCTCTGACAGACAGCAAGGATCTCAGCTCCAAAGGAAAACTTTGCCCCTCTTCAGCAGGAAGCAGTTACAGAAGAGACCCTGTGTCCCTTTTCTCTGAAAGAATTCAGAGCAGCAGTTCTCAACCTGTGGGTCGCGACCCCTTTGGGAGTCGAATGACCCTTTCACAGGGATCCCCTAAGACCATCCTGCATATCAGATATTTACATTACGATTCATAACAGTAGCAACATTACAGTTATGAAGTAGCAACGAAAATGATTTTATGGTTGGGTCACAACATGAGGAACTGTATTTAAAGGGCCAGAAGGTTGAGAACCACTGATTCAGAGCCAAGATTCTTGAGGCGGGGATGTGGCAGGCAGTTACATGCACATGAGCTGAGCAAGGACGGTGGGCCAGGTACAGAAGGTCACCAGGATGGAAAGCCCTGGGTGCCTAGCAAAGGGCAAATGTAGGGTGGGACCTCATCCCCAGGGCGACCTTTCCTCCCTAGCATATCGCTGCTCCTGTGGTTTGGACCCCTGACCTTTCCTTCCTAGAGATACTAGACTCAGTGGTATTTCAGCTCCAGGCCCAGAAAAGCAGCAAAACCAGACAAGCAACACCACTGCTGACCTCAGGACCAGCTGCATTGAATAATGACCCCCTGCCCTGGCTCCGACCAGTCAATCAGTGGAGGCCCAGACCCTAAAAGGACAACCCTAGAAAGCTGATGAATATTCTATTGAGATCTTCCCCTGGGACCTTCCCTAAAATCTTCACCCTTAACACCCTTAGGATGGAGGACCAGGGTGCTCTCCCTCCAATCCGGGACCCCTCGGGGGATGTCCGACTGCCAGTAAGTCGGACATCTCTCTCACAATCCGGGACTGCTGGCACCTAACTGCTCACCTGCCTGCCTGCCTGATCGCCCCTAACTGCTCCCTTGCTGGCCTGATCACCCCTCACCACCTCTGCCTTGGCACCCTCCACCATGGCTTTGTCCGGAAGGATGACCGGAAGATGTCCAGTTGACCCGGTCTAATTAGCATATTGCCCTTTTATTAGTATGGATGTGTGTGTGTGTGTGTGTGTGTGTGTGTGTGTGTGTGTTTATTGATTTTTAGAGAGAGAAGGGAGAGGGAAAGAGAGAGAGAAAGAAACATTGATGAGAGAGAAATATCTATCAGCTGCCTCCTGCACGCCCCCTACTGGGGACTGAGCCTGCAACCCAGCGTGTGCATGGAATGACACTCAACCACTGAGCCACACTGGCCAGGGCGTGAGTCCTGAAGGCTTCTTAGGTCCACCAGCTGTTCTTTAGGAAGAACGAGTCTCTGCACACAGTGCTCGTGTAGGATGGTCCCTCCTTGCCCCCTTCTGCATCTGGAAGACATGACTTGGGGCCCAACTGCAAAGTCTCCACTGACTCCTCCGTCCTCCCAGGGCCCTGGCTCTCCCTGGCCAGTGGGGGAAGGCTGCAGAAAACCCATGGAAAAGTGACTCACCTGTGTGTGTGTGTGTGTGTGTGTGTGTGTGTGTGTGTGTGTTTATTTTCATGGATGCTCCCACAGCCCTCGGTTCATATTGCAGATGCAGCATTCACCAAATTGTACTTCTGTGGTTCGTGGAGTGAGCTCTCTACTTCTGCTCTCACATTGCAACTGCCAGAAACGGCTCAGCCGCTCTGCTTAGCTAGGACTTAATCATCTCTGAGCATGTCTGTCCACCCCACAGACTATGGGACCCTCCAGGGCAGGGAACCCGGGACTCAGCCCACAATGGGGCTTCAAGAAGGCAGGCAATATGGCAAAGTGATCAAGAGAAGGATTTTGGAGCCAGAGCACACTGGAGATTGAGTCTACCATTCCCTGTGTACCCTTGGGCAAGTTCCTTAACCTCTCTGTGCTTATGTCTCCATCTGCAAAAGAGGAAAGGCGTTCCAACCTCACAGAGCTGTTGGAAGGAATAAATTGAGATGATGCATGTGCTTGTTCAGCAAATGCTCCAACAACCTAGGCTACGCAACTCAAGGTTCCCTCCTTCAGGAAGCCTTCCCTACCTTTCCAGGGAAAGTGTGGCCTTTCCCAGAAAGGATCTGAAAGGGCCAGGAGGGACAATGGCCCTCTAGCTGAGGAGCCATGGGCGGGGGGGGGGGGGGGGGGGGGGGGGGGGGGGGGGCTCTGGAGGAGATGTGGGTGCCAGACGGGCAGGCTCTGGAGGGGACCCTGGGGGTGGGCGTGTTTTCAGGGCCTCCCTCCTCTGGAGCCCATCCCCCCAAGGCAGAGGTGAATGCTTAAGGAATGGTTACCATCACTGACTAACACTTGCAAATAAGGCACTGGGCCACCGCCCAGAGGGGTGGAAATCAGGAGGTGCTGAATAATCCAGATGCAGCCTGGCTCACCCAGCACAGTCCTCCAACTGGTCCTCTCCCACCCTCCACCAGGCCTCGCAGGGAAGCCCCAGCCAGCCTCACTGCCCTTTGGGCTCACTCCAGATGTGAGGTCACTCCCAGAAACGCCTGGGGTGAGGTGCTAGCAACCACTCCACCCTGGCTGCTCAAGGCCAGCCCGTGCTGGGAAGATTCCCGAGGAAAGAGGGGACCTCCTCTTAGGGAAAGAGGACAGCCCACCTTAGTATTTGCCCTGCTGAGCCTGCCACACAGTAAGTGCTCGACCAACAAATCTGGAGCGAATGCACCAGCCCTGCTATGTGGCGGGGGTGGGAAAGCCATGGGACCTGGGCCTGTGGAGCCCCAGAAGCAGACGGACCCTTGACCAGACCGTCTGGCTCCCGAGATGCACAGCAGGGGCTGGACAGAGCCCACCAAGGGCAAGCACCCCTTGTGCATTCTGGAGCTCCCCAGGGCCCCATCGGCCCGTCCCCTCTTATTTCCCACCCACGCGGCCACTCACATTGGCAATGAGTGAGGGCCAGGTGCCCACCATGGCCACCACTGGGCTGTGTGACCACCCAGCAAGTCCCCGGCTCTCTAGGCCCTCGCTGAACCGGCCTCTGGGCCTGGCTCCGTTCCCACCCAGGGCTGGGCAGCCAGTGGCGGCCAGTGGGGGCCAAGAAGGCAGGCACTAGAGAAATCCAACTGGAAATGTCCATTGAACCCCTAATACGTCTCACTTAGTCTGCGAGGCAATCCTGGGGCGGGTAAGATTGTCCCCACCTGACAGGGAAGGAGGAGCTGTGACGTGCAGGGTCCAGCACCAGGGAGTGGCCCCAAACGCTGGGGGAGTGAGGACACCATTGGTCCATCCCTCCTGCCTCCGGAGGGGAAACTGAGGTCCAGAGAAAGCCCGGGTCACAAAGCCAGCGAAGGGCAAAGCCCTCGGGGGCCATCCCAGGATGCCCATCTCCCCGCCCCGGCCCCCGGGACTCCCACTGGGGCCCCAAAGCCCGCCGCCCACGGGTGGTTCCCGTCCAGGAGGGCTGCCCGCCACCCTCCGCCGCCGCGCCCGCTCACCTGGCACAGCAGGTCAAGCGCGTAGCCCGCGCACTCGGCCCACACGCCCGCGTCCACGCGCGCCGCCAGGGCCCAGAAGCGGCGGCCCAGCGCGGCGTCCCGCTCGGGCGCGCAGCAGCCGAAGGCCGAGTACTGCGCGCAGAAGCTCAGCGGCTGCGGCGGCCGGAAGGGCGGCCTGAAGTCCAGGCACTGCGGGTGCGCCGCCGCCCCGAGCGCCCGCAAGGCCAGCAGCGCCAGCAGCGCTCCGGCCCCGGGCCCGGCCCGCAGTCCCGCCATGCCGCCGCCGCCCCGCTCCGCCCCGGCCCGGCCCGGCCCCCTGGAAGCCGGGGGCGCCCTGAGCTCCCGCCTCCCTTCTCGCCGCATCCTCCCTGGGCGCTCGCGACGGCGGGCCCTCGCGTTTGGCCACCTCCCCAGCAAGGAGGTCCCCTCCGGTCCAGGACACCTCGGCGCCTGCAGGAAGGGAGGCGCCTGCAGAACTTGGAACTCGAACAGCCTGTTCCCGCTGCTCGGGCAGCCCGTGCCTCCTGGACGGCAGCCTTCCCAAGTACAGCGGCATAGCCTGGCCTCCTGGGGCCCGGTGTGGGCTGGGTGTCGCGGTTCCGGTTCTGCCAGGGGCTCAGCGTCCGCCCTTGGGCGCTATTTGCTTCTGGAGGTTCCGGAGCCCTGGCCAGAGGCCCTGGGTCCTGGGTTTCCGTCCCCCACTGTTAGGAGGGTCTCCAGCTCTGAGCAGGTCTAAATGCTGTCACTCCATGCTATGCTTGTAAATGCTCGGATGGAGCTTAGTATTTTGCAGATGCTGCTGTAAACAAAGTGACCTTGACAGGAACCCAAAGGGTAAGGGTAGCCAACCGCCAAGAAGGCGTCAACAGGTAACCCACCTTCCGGGTTTGGACAGAGCTTTGGATACCAGTCCTGCGTCCTGGACTTGATGCAAGTAAATAAAACTACCTTCGACAACCATGTCCGGTTACTGAACAGAACACCCCAAGTGGCTCAGTGGGTGAGCATCGACCTACGAACCAGGAGGTCATGGTTGGATTCTGATCAGATTCCCCATCAGGGCACATGCCCAGGTAGCAGGCTCGGTCCCCAGTAGGGAGCGTGCAGAGGCAGCCAATTGATGATTCTGTCTCATCAGTGATGGTTCTCTCTCTCTCTCCCTCTCTTTTCCTCTCTGAAATCAATAAAAATATATATTTTTAAAAATTCTATAACACCACCTCTGATGGGGCCAGGGTAGGGATGCAATGGAGCCAGTGGCTGGGAATTCATACAGAATCACTTGAAAATGGGGAAGCCGTGGTGCAAAGTACAGGCGTTGTTGCCCTGGGAATTACAAGTAGAAGTGAAACCTAGGCTGGGGGTGGGGAGCGGGGAGGGGGTGGCCTCCGAGTCCCCCCGTGGTCCCCACCCCAGGCTTCCTCCTCTCTCCCCTCTTGAGCCAGCAGATTCCCCTACAGCCCGGGCCGGCTGGGGCTGCTCCCTTCCACGGCTGCAAACCTCCTGGGTGGGCTTCCAGCTTCCATCCTGCAGCCCTGGCCGGGCTCCTGCCCAGTATCAAATCACACCTCTGGGTCATGGTCCCATCACACAGCCGAGGGAACACAGGTGGGGAGTCAGGAGCCTGCCCTGCTCACGTGGCAACGCTGGTGCGCAAGGGCCCAAGCAACTCCCTTTCTGCTCTGACAGGTAAGGAGCTTGGAAGTCGTCACTCCGTCCTGCCAGGAGGAGGAAAGCTAACAAACTGAAAACCAGTGCCTTTTCTTAGACCCGTTTGAGAACTGGGTTCTGAGGTCGACACCCCCCAAAAACCTGAAGACAAGCAAATCCAGTCTCAGCCACGATCTGTTCACCAGGAGAAGGTGCTGGAGCCGTAAACGGGCAGAATGGCTTACACCGAAATGCGGGTGAACGGCCTGGGCGAAGTGCGCACTAGTATGAAACTGAGAAACCCCGGAGTGGGGGGCGTGGGGGGGGGGGGTCACAGGCTAAAGGGAGGGAGCACAGTTTTGTGATTTTACCTCCAGGAACCTCCCAAACTCCCTCGGAGCTCTTGCAGGGGGAGTGGAAAGTTGTCGTTGTGAAATACACTCATATCGTTCTCCTCAGCAAAGGCCCACTCTCCAGGGAACATGATTTTACCAGAACCTGTCCACCCTGGAGGAAGGCATTCCCCCAACGCCAGCCCCTCTAGCCTTCCCGTGTTACCTAAGGGGGTGGGGGGAGAGAGCTGAGAGGCACTAATGACTATCACAGCCCAGGGACATAGGATGATAGAACATTTCTCCTCCCACCCCCTTACTGGCTCCTCAATAGGCCTCCAGTATAACAGGGCCACATGACAAGAGCTCCCAGACACACTCTATCTAAGGAGGAGTTCTTAGGGAACCGGGGAAAAAAAAAAAAAAAAAAAAAAAGACGAGAGAAACAAGGCCAGAGGAATCTGCAGCCGCTGGCTCCCGCAGCTACCGCAGAGATGAAACTCTGCCAGCCCTCGCCAGGTTAACAGAAATCCTCGCACAAACTGCCCGTCTGTCTCAGTTCCTGTTTCCCAGCACATCATGTCTGGCTTTCAGAAAAGGGTGCCCGGCCCGGCATGCCACATAATAAGAAGAGATGCCGACCGGAGAGGAAAGGCATCAGAACCAGACCGAGGGCAGACACGGAATTTGGAATTGTCAGACGGGGAGTTTAAAATAACTGTGATTAATATGTTAAGGGCTCTAATGGAAAAAGTTACCAAGATGGGCAGTGTCAACAGAGATGGAAACTTTAAGAAAAACATTTAAGAGAAATGGTAGAAATCAAGAACACCCACAGGAAGGAAGAATGCCTTGCTCTGGCCAGTGTGGCTCAGTTGGTGAGGCTTCGTCCCATGCGCTGAACGGTTGTTGGTTCGCTCCTGGTCAGGGCACACGCCCGGGTTGCTGGCTCGATCCCTAGTTGGGGGACACGCAGGAGGCAGCCCATTGATGTTTTGCTCTCACATCGATGTTTCTCTCTCTTCCTCTCCCTTCCTTGCTCTCTAAAAATCAATAAAATTTTTTTTTTAAAAAAAGGGAAGGAAAAATGCCTTTGATGAGGCCATCAGTGGACTGCCAGGGGAAAAATCAGTGAGCTGGGGGAGATGTCAGTAGAAATATCCCAAACTAATATACAGAGAGGGGAAAAAATGTTCTGAAAAGTCAAACAGATCAGAACATCCAGGAACCGTAAGACAATTTCAAAAGGAATAATATATGTATGGTGGTAAAACCAGAAAGAGAGAGAGAGAGATGCAGCAGAAGAAACATTTGAAGTAATAATGGCCAAGAATTTTCTGAAATTAATGACAAACACCAAAAGCAACAGATAAGGAATCTAAGAACATCTAAAGCAGGATAAATACCCCAAAAATCCACAGCTGAGCAGATCATACTCAAAGTGCAAAAACCAAAGACAGAGTGAAGATCTTGAAAGAAGCCAGAGGGGAAGAACACCTGACCCGCAGAGGCACAGGACAGAAATGGCAGCGAACGTCTCCTTAGAAGCCAGGCAGGAAGAGAGTGCAGCCAAGTATGTAAAGTGGTGAAAGTGGGGGGAAAGCCATCAACATAGATTTTTCTACCTGGCAAAATTATCCTTCAAGAGTGAAGGAGAAATAAAGAATTTCTCAGAAAAACGGAAACAGGGCATGCAGCAGCCGCAGAGCTGCCCTACAAAATAATGTTCAAAGTTCTTCAAAGCCGGGCTGGTGTGGCTCAGTTGGTTGAGGTCACTGGTTCAATATCCGTTTGGGGCACATGCCTGGGTTTGGGGCTCAGTCTCTAGTAGGGCGTGTATAGGAGGCAGCCGATCCATGATTCTCTCTCATCATTGATGTTTCTCTTTCCCTCTCCCTTCCTCTCTGAAATCAATTTTTTTAAAAAAGGAACAAGGCTCTACTGTAGGTTGTCTACAAGAAACCCACTTTAAATATAAAGATTCAGGTAGGTAAAAATGGAGGGATGGAGGAAGACATACCACCGTACCACGAATCAAAAGCAACAGGAGTAGCTACACTAACTTCAGAAAAGATCACACTTCAGTAATAGAAGTCTGAACAGGGTCTTCTAGTCCCTCCCAGAGGGCAGGTCTCCAGCTGTTGAACCCCCAGGGTAGGGTGCTGGCACATGCCAGACATTCTACTGTTTAAAGGATGAATGAATGAGTGAGTGAGTGAGTGAATGAAATGCTCTGGCTTTGCTATTTCCATGAGGCCTGACCTCCTGCCTTAGCTGGAAGGCACAGGCTAGGTGACCTGGGCAATTTCACCAAATGCCTTTTGGAGCCGGGGCTGGTCATGGGGAGCTGGGGAGGATGCACCTGGCACCAGGAGCATAGCTGGCCCTTGGAGCCCATTGCCCTCAAGCCCTGTCTGATGGGAACAGCCTGGGCAGCTGGCCCTGTGACTGAGAAAACCTCAGATTTTCTTCCCCAAACATTGGCTTAGTGATGTCAGCCGATGAGTCAGGGCCCACAAAGCTGCCTTCTCGCCCATTCAGGCTCCACCTGGCATGAGGGGGACACCCAGTCCTGCTGCAGTCTCCCCTCTGTGGCCCCACGTAGAACCCTCCTCCTTCCTCAGCCCAGTTTCCCCACCTCTTGAGACCTGGCGGGTGGGGGGGTGGGGGGAGACTGGGCCTGGCTGCTCTGGGTGCCAGCCCATTGGTCCTGAGGGTTGCATGAGGGCCCAGGAGCACTGCCCACATTTCCAGGAGCCCAGTGGGCCGGCGCTGCCAGGACCAGGACACCCAGGCCAGCAACCAGCCAAAACCTCTTCCAACCAGACCAGGTCAGTGCGGGCAGCCATGCATCGGCCGCTGCAAACCTGACCTCTGCCAGCTACATGGGTGTTAGTTCCTTCTCCGGAACGACAGGGAAGGAAGGCCATGGGCAGCCTGTTTGTCCACTGGGCCACCCGCCCTCCCCGCCTTGAGGGGAGCAGCCCAGGTTGCGGTTAATCCCTTCTCCCCGGGCTCAGGCCTCCTCCGGCCGCTCAGCCCCAGCAGGACCACGTGCTGGGAGGGTCTCATGGACACGGAGCAGTGAGCTGGTCATCGCTCTGCCACGCTGGCTGCCTGCCTACCTTACCTGTGCGCTGTGGCTCACAGTGAGGCAGGGGCCTGGGGCCAGCAGAGGGCTTTTCTGAACACTTCACACCTGCAGAGAATTATAAGGAAGAGAGGGAACACACCACCAGACGTTACCCATGTGACTAATTGAGCACATTTGCTTCAGATGGCTTAAATCGTACTTAAAAGATGAGCAACTGTGAGCCACAGGTGATGTGGGTGAGTAC